GCCTCAAGTTGTGCCAGGGGAGGTTGAGGTTGGATCTGGGGAACAATTCCTGCCTGGCAAGGGTTGTCAGGGCCTGGCCCAGGCTGCCCAGGGCAGGGGGGGAGTCCCCATCCCTGGGGGGGTTTCCAAGCCCTGGGGATGGTGCTGAGGGACACGGGTTAAGCACTGGACTTGGTAAGGTTTGGTGATGGTTGGTAGGGTTTGGTTCTGGTTGGACATGCTGCTCCTGAAGGTCTTTTCCAAGCAGAGCACTCCATGGCCCTGCAGCCCATGCCCTCCAGGCTGGCACCATCCTGGTGTCCCTGGCACAGCAGGGATGGAAGGACCTGCCCTGGGCTGGGATCCCCAGGGGCTGCAAACGGCATCTCTGCCACCACCCAAAGTGCCCATCCCAGGCTGGGTTGGGCTGGAGGGACCTCAAAGCCCACCCAGTGCCCCCCTGCATGGGCAGGGACACCTCCCAGCAGCCCAGGCTGCTCCAAGCCCCATCCAACCTGCCCTTCAACACCCCCAGGGATGGGGCAGCCACAGCTTCCCTGGGCAACCTGGGAGCACAAGGGTGACCAGGAGCAGCTGGGGGAGCTGGGGGTGCTGATCCTGGAGCAAAGGAGGCTGAGGGGAGACCTGCTGGCTCTGCAGCTGCTGAGAGGAGGTTGGAGCCAGGGGGGTCGGGCTCTGCTCCCCAGGAACAAGCCCTGGGCCAAGAGGGAACGGCCTCAAGTTGTGCCAGGGGAGGTTGAGGTTGGATCTGGGGAACAATTCCTGCCTGGCAAGGGTTGGCAGGGCCTGGCCCAGGCTGCCCAGGGCCGGGGGGGAGTCCCCATCCCTGGGGGGTTTCCAAGCCCTGGGGATGGTGCTGAGGGACACGGGGCAGTGGGGAATGGGCAGGGCTGGGGGATCCTAAAGGGCTTTTCCAACCCATTCCATGACTCTGACTTGAGAGGGTTTCCCTCTACCTCTTGGCCAGGCTCAGCCCCTCCAGGTGCTGCAGGGTCCCCAGGTGTGTGCTGCAGGTGTGTGTGTCCCCAGGCCCAGCCTGGTCACCTTCCCCTTGCTCTTCCAGAACTTCCTGTACAGATGCATTGGGACAGCCCTTGGTGCCTGCACCAGCAAAGACTTTGTGCAGAAGCAGCTCCAGGAGCTCCTGGAAACAGCCAGATACCACGAGGAGGCAGAAAGGGAGGTGAGGAGGTGTTGTGCCTGACCCTTGGGTCACCCTGATGCACCAGGAGAGCTGTCCTGCCACACTGAGCCCTCCTGTCCAGCCTCACCAGGCTTGTTCCTCTTGGGGAAAGGTTTGTAGGGCAGGTCCCAGCACTGGGGTGAGTGTCCCCAGAGGAGTGAGGAGATCCTGCCAGCAAGAGGGCTGGGTGAGATGCTGGGGATTCCTTGGGACATTTGTCTCAAGGGGTGTGTGACCCCAGACTGGGACAGGGAGCAGAATCCTCAGCCTTGAATGTGCTGGTAGAGCTGCTTCCTTGGGAAGGTCATCAAGCCAGAGTGTTTGGGTTGGAAGGGACCATTAAAGCTGCTGAGCCTCACCCACCAGAGCATCCCAGACCTGCTGTGGCTGGAGCAGCTGGGGCTGCAGCTCCAACTTCCCTGGGCAACCTCCAGCTCATGTGCTCCCTCACAGGATTATCAGATGATCCCCTGGGAGCAGGAAGAGACCTTTAAAGGTCATCTTGTCCAACCCCCCTGCATGGGCAGGACATCTGCAACCAGCCCAGGTTGCTCCAGGCCCCATCCAACCTGCCCTTCAACACCCCCAGGGATGGGGCAGCCACAGCTTCCCTGGGCAACCTGGGCCAGGGGCTCCCCACCCTCACAGCCCAGAATTTCTCCCTCCCATCTCAGCTCCAGCTCCCTCTGCCAGCTGGAAACCCTTCCCCCTGCTCCCATCCCTCCCTGCCCTTGTCCCAAGCCCCTCCCCAGCTTTCCTGGAGCCCCTTCAGGCCCTGGAAGCTGCTCTCAGGTCTCCCTGGAGCCTTCTCTTCTCCAGGCTGAACACCCCAACTCTCCCAGCCTGGCTCCAGAGCTGCTCCAGCCCTCCCAGCATCTCCAGGGCCTCCTCTGGCCTCTCCAACAGCTCCGTGTCCTCCCTGTGCTGGGGACCCCAGCCTGGCCCCAGCCCTGCAGGGGGCTCAGCAGAGGGACAATCCCCCCCTGGCCCTGCTGGTCACACTGCTGGTCACACAGCCCAGGACATGAGGGTTTCTGGGCTCATGTTGAGCTCCTCTTCACCCAGCACCCCCAGACCCTTCTCCCTGAGCTGCTCTCCCCCCATTCCCCTGTGCTGTGCCTGGAATTGTCCCATCCCAGGGCAGCTCCTTACCCTGGTGTGTTCCGTGGAGACAACCCCAGCCAGGGCTGTGACTGGGACCAGTAACAGGCTCCACAGGAGTGTCCCCTGGGGCAATAAGAGCTTTCCTTCTGATGGGTTTTCTCTCCCTCCCTTCCCAGGGACTCGCGTCCTGCTTCGGGCTCTGCGCCGTGAAGCACCTGGGGGAGACCCTGGCCAAGCTGGAGGAGTTTGTCAAGTCTGATGTCTTCAAGAAATCCGTGGGGCTGTTCAGTATCTTCAAGGTGAGGGCCAGAGGGTCCTCCAGGCTGCTCAGACATGGGGAGGCCCTGGGAAAGGAGTGAGTTCCTGGGAAAGGAGTGAGTTCCTGCCCCGGTGCCTTTGGCTGGGGGGTGGGACCCCCAGGGCCCCTGGTGAGGCTGCTGGTGGCACCAGAGCCTGCTTGGCAGGAGCTCCCAGCTCCACCAGACACAGGGAAGTTGCTCCCTTGCTGGGTGGGCTCAGGGAGCTCCCACTTGGCTTCTGTGCCTGTGGGGGGACCTGCCCTGACCCAGAGCCTGGTGGAGCCACCACCAGCCCTTGGTGCCTGGGGGTCTCCAAGCAGCTCCTGCCCCAGGAGATGGGGCTGTTTCCTGCCCCCACTGCTGGCTGGAAAAGCTTTTCCTCAAACCTTTCTGCCCCAGGCAGCTGCTTTTGTAGCATCATGGAATGATTTGGGTTGGAGGGACCTTCAAGCCCACCCAGTGCCCCCCCTGCATGGGCAGGGACACCTCCCAGCAGCCCAGGCTGATTCCCAATCTCCAAGTCTGGGTGTTTGAGGGTTGGGGGGTTGGTGCTGCCCGGGCACTCAGGAGACCCCAGCCCACCACAGGAAGGTGCCTGGAGCTCAGGAGTTGGGTGAGGAAGCCAAGGAGCCTTCATCCCTGTCCTGGTACAAGGGGCTTGGCCAGGAACTGCTCCCTGGGACGGTGCAGGTGGAACCTGGCAGCACAGGTTTTATGGCAGTTAACCAGCAGTTAACCTGGTTAACTTGGCCAGGCTGGGGCTGATGTTCTCCCCTGCAGGGCTGGAACAGGTGACACCTGATGGGGGACAGGGGCTCGTGGCCCAGACAGGGACCTGCTGCCAGTGCAGCTCAGGCTGGGACACCTGATGCTCCATCGGGGCCCTGGAGGTCGTTGCCACCACCAAAAGATGGTCCAAAACCTGCTGGGATGGGTCCTGCCTGCCAGGGGCACCTGCAGCTGGTCAGGGAGACCCTGCAGAAGCCACCTCTGTGTGGGGGCTGGGAAGAACCAGCCCTGGCTTCCCCCCCAAGTCGTGTCCCCAGCTGAGGGGGTTTCTCACCTCCCAGGACCGCAGCGACACCGAAGTGGAGAAGATCAAGAGCAGCCTCATCCTCTGCTATGGGTACGTGGCTGTTCATGCTCCCAAGGAGCTGGTGCTGGCCAAGATCGAGGCAGACATCCTGAAGAACATCTTCCAGTACTTCAACACCAAGGTGAGCAGTCGGGGTGCTCCATCCCCCCCAGGTTGGTGGGCACAGCCGGGCGGGCTGGAGCGGCCGGGATGTGCCAGGTGGGTCCCTCAGGCAGCTCCTGGGAGCAGCTCATCCCCTGCAGGTCCTGCTCCCTCCCACATCCCTAACGTCTTTTGTGTTTGTTTGTGTTGTTTTTTTTTCACTTGTTCAGGTTCTGGGCATAAAAGTAGAAACCAAGGTACAGTGTGAGGTTCCACCTGAGCTGCTCTCTGCTCTTTCCTGCTCTCTCTGCCTGCCTCTTGTCCTGGGCTCCCCTGGAGAGCAGCCCCGAGCTCTGCTCAGAGGTTCCTCTGCCCATGAGGGCCAGGAGAGCTGTGGGAGCTGCTGCTCCTGCCCCTGAGCTCCTCAGCCCCGTCCTCTGGGCCTGGAAAGGCCCAAAATTCACAGCAGAAGGGAAGGGAGAAACCACCTCTTGGTGGGGCAGGAGCTGCAGGGGGAAGTCTGGCTTGAGTGGCCACCACCGTGGGGAGGTCCAGGCTCTGGGGTGGTGTCTGCTCATCATCCCTGTGCCCCCTGCCCATGGCAGCCCCTGTGCCCCCTGCCCATGGCAGCCCCTGTGCCCCCTGCCCATGGCAGCCCCTCTGCTCCCACCCCCATTTTTCCCTGGGGGTCCAGATGTGGGAT